GAAGACTCATCCCTAGAATTTAGAATGTGCAGCTCATCATGTCTTGTTGTTTGACAGCCCTCATGCTCTCAGGTTTGTGAACTTGATTCACGAATCACCGTCATTATGCGAGGTTCTCTCCTCGGCAGGCGGTGCGATCTCGGTCAAAACGAAACCCCAAATCGTTCTGCTTGCGAGTGGTAAATGAAACAGGACCCGACGATGTATTTCTGCGCATCCACGGTGATGAGGGGCCTTTCTTCAAGAACAGGAATCTGCTGGTGGTGTCGTTGAGTTTTCCACATAATCATGGAGATGCTAAGTTGCACTTGAAACGGACATCAGTCGTTTCTATTTTTGTGTCTTGCAGCTTGCTTTGCTCCACAAATGAGGACACGATCATGACTCGTTTGCCTCTTTGTGTCTTGGTCTGCACGTGATCCCGTTTCTGCAAAGTTGCGGGATATGTATACACATGTGTGTGTGTGACTGAGGTGCGATCCCCGGTCATCTACTCGTGTCTGTGCCTCTGCAGAGGAAGGTGGGAACAGTATCCACGGTGGATAAGATCATGGACATCATTAGCAAAGATTTGGAAGGGTTGCGCCTCAGCTTTCAACCGTATCTGGATATTGTCTTTGCAGAGACTTCCTCTATATACATGTAGGTTTGGCTGCCGCAACAAGCCCCAAATGCATCGGAGGACTGTCCACATCGACCAACAAGAACGACCTGTCCGTTTCTTCGGGATGAAGGGCGACCTCAAATGGTTGGGGCACGTGTTCAAGTTGCCGCAGCCTCATGTGTGCATATATATAGATATATACGTATTGTTGGTTTGGGTTTCGTCATTTGTTGCATGAGCTTTTGGGAAAGCGCGAACGTTGTTCCGCGTGACGGTTAACTGAGTCCCCGCCACTGGAAAGGCAACGGTGTTGCCCGAGGGAACAGGACGGCTGTTTTCAGCATAGGTTGCAAGTTGCGGCACGACCACTGTGACAAATCAACACTGTTGCAGGATGTGCCATATTTGCAAGCATCTTCGCTGCAACGAGAAAGTTGATATACAGTGATGCAGATTCACTGTAAGCATGTCACGGATTCTGTCTGATCTCCAATATCCAAGGCTTGCGAGCACGAGCGACCCGAACGATGGCAGAACGTTTCTGGCATACGGGTCCAGCCACTACTTGAATGATTTCGCCGACTCTGGCTGGCATGGTTCGGAGGAGTCGCTGCAGGACCTCATGAGAGCAAGTACGGTCTGCAACGCATGCAGAATATAACACGAATGACTTGCATTTCCCATTGCTTTCTGCACGACTCGTGTCTTAATCTGCAATCGAGGAGTTCATGGCAACCATGCGCAACTTGCAGTTCGCTTCCCCTATCATCCATGCTCCGGGTTTCAGCAATCGACTTATATGGGATGACTCCTTGCACGTGGCATACAGAGGGTTTGCCGCTGACTTCTGCGGCAGTGTGGTGGCAGAGATTTTTGGCAAGCAGGGCAACCAACTCTTGCGAGCTACCGAGATGCTCCACTGCTGGGCACGAGCTAAAAGCCATCCACTTTCGATGGAGGAGTTTAGTTTCAGCGATGATTACCCGAGTTTGAATGCGAAGGGCTGGGATATCAAACTCGTGTGTATGTGGCTTGCGTTGTGGTAGCATACAGCAGCCATGTGCTCATATGTTTTTGCATGTATACAAATGCACGCGCGTCTCGAGGCACGATTCAGATGTATTGAAATCTGAGGCAGAGATCACACCTGCCTTTGCTCGATCAGCAGCTGCTGCTAAGCAGCGAGAGCATGCATATGTGATGTCGATGTGCCTCGGCATCCCAATCAACAAAGATACGTACTAGTTCGCTTGAAGATTTTTGTCAATCTGGATTTCTGTACCGTAAACCCCAATCCCTAAACCCCTACTATCCCTAAAACCCTAAACCCATAAAACCGATCAACGCTTTCATATGACACACTTCTGATGGTGTTCACACTTGAGATGCAAGCAGATTTTTTGGCCGACTGTGCGTCGATTGAACAGATAATTTGATTCAGGACGGCTCGTGCCTTGGCCGTGAATATCGAGATCCTGGATGCTTCGGTGTACGAGATATCCCCCTCGAATGCTGTCCGCGGCCAGCGGGCTTGCAAACGTTTCGTCATGGGATACTCCTGGCTAGCCTTTTCCAGCTTCTGCGAGAACAGAAAAACCTTTAAACTTCGACCAAAGTTTCCTGGTCGCAGAGATCTTCCATAGACGTGTGTCACTTTTGAGCCGTGCGACTAGAATCACTAATACATTCTATTGATTATTTCGATCGCTCTCACATCTCAGGCTCCACGTCTGGCTGCATCTCTGGCACAGATGCGCGACCTGTCGACTGAATCCACAGCTCAACGCCTGTTTCGCAGACGAGGATTTCGTGCGGATCATGTGCAACGTCGACACTGGGTCTGCACATAAGCGGTTCGAAGGCACAACCGGAGCTCCTATGAAGTTTGTCCTGACATCTTGGAACGAAGGCTTCTGGATGTCACGCTGGCACCGCCGGCCTCACCGCTTTAAAGCGATTCCTGGCGACTGCCTCTCGAGAGTGGCTCCAAAGGGTGGCATGAAAATACGTGGTCATTTGCGCGGCCTCTTTCTGCCAAGTTCTGTGACTATGCGTTGAGAGCATTCTGCCTGCAAGTGTCAGTGAGCATTCTGTGCTGAGACATGATGTCGGTGCAGTTCTCAAGGCATGTCATGATCATGTCATGCCTGTTCTGCTAAAATTCAAGATTTCCAGCTGTTTATGCTGGAGATCTTGAATTTTATTTGCACATGAGCCATTCAAAACTTGGACTTTCTAAGTGAATCCAAGCTTTAAATTCACGTTGTTCGTTCGGTTTTGATTTCTCCAACATTGTTTACACATTTTTGCTTTTTCCCAACTCAATTTTGATTTCTCTCCCAAGTTGTACCAAACACAACAGTTTACAGCTGTTTTGCATGAGTTGGCGAACCACAGAAAACTCCTACAATGTAGGTATTT